TCTTCAGGACAATCTTCGTCTGAATCTCATTCAGGAAACACTGCAGTAACACTGATGACGCAATCATCATCAGAAAGCCGGCCAACAGTGACACAGTTATCATCCAGCACTGAGTCACGAGCAGAAACCACTTCAAGAGAAGCACGAGTATCACCAGTAACTGAGACATCATCAGTAACGCATCCAAAAACAAGTAACGTGTCATTCAAAACTTTGACTTCAACAGAAAGTATTCCAACAATGACACAATTCTCATCCAGCATTGAGTCAACAGCAGAATCCACTTCAAGAGAAGGACGAGTGTCACCAGTGACTGAGACTTCGTCAGTGACACATCCAACAAGTAACATGTCATCCAAAACACTGCCATCAACAGAAAGCAATCCAACAATCACACAAGTATCATCAATAACTAAGACTTCATCAGAAATATCTTCCTCAACAACACAGATGTCAACAGTGACACAGACCTCATACCAGACCCATTCAACAGGAAAAGAATTGTCATCAATAGTGTCATCCTTAGCTGCAACCCATTCATCTGCACAGACATTATCAGTGTTTCCGCCAACACCAGAATCCAAGACATCAACATCACAATTCTCATCAACAACTGAGTCGTCCTCAGAATTCCATGGTACACCCAACCAAAAATCATCAGTAACTGAAACATCATCAGAAATGTATCCTACAGCAACACAAATGTCAACATCAGAAAACCATTTGTTAGCACACAGTACATCAACTCTTTCTTCAACATCAGAAAGCAATCCAACAACAGAGCATGTATCTTCCATAACTGGGTCTTCTTCAGAATCCCATCCAGTAGTGACACAAGTATCATCAATAAGTGAGACCCCATTCGAGACCACTCAGCGATCATCACAATTAACCTCTTCAGGTCAATCTTCATCTGAATCTCATTCGGGAAACACTGCAGTAACACAGATGAGGCAATCATCATCAGAAAGCAGGCCAAGAATGACTCCATTCTCAACCAGCACTGTGTCAACAGCAGAAACCACTTCAAGACAAGCACTAGTGTCACCAGTGATTGAGACTTCGTCAGTGACACATCCGACAAGTAACATGTCATCCAAAACTGTGCCATCATCAGAAAGCAATCCAACAATAACACACGTATCACTAATAACTAAGACTTCATCAGAAAGATATCCACTATCAACACAAGTGTCAGCAGAAACACAGACGTCATCAGAGACCCATTCAAGAATGAAAGGATTGTCATCAGTCGTATCATCCTCAGCTAAAACCCATTCATCTCCACAAACTTCATCAGTCACTCCTTCCACAGCTAAATCCAGTTCACCAACATCACAACTCTCATCAATAACCCCATCGTCTTCAGATACCCGTGGTACATATACCCAAAGATCATTCAGAACTGGTACTACATCAGACGCGTATCCTACAGCAACAGAAATGTCAACATCAGAAAACCATTTGTCAT